AAAAAAAAAAAAAAAAAAAAAAAAAAAAAAAAAAAAGAAAAAAGCACCACGTGCCAGAAGTGGACACTCACTCCACTATTTGCATCATCTGAACTGCACACAGAGGTCAAACTCCCTCCCTGTCCCCTGTCAGCATTCTCCTCTTTCACTGAGGAAGATTAATGGCAGCATCCCTTTGCCAAACAGCGAAGTCTCTCTTCTAACATGAATGTTCCACAGCATCAGTACTTATTTCAAAGACGTCCACAGTCTCACAGTGGCTCCTATCAGTCAAATCTGTTACACCAGAGAACAAAACCACTTTTTTTGCTAAGCTCTGTCCCTCAGAGATCGGGGTTCTGGCAAATAGCTTCTATCCCACTCAGTGCTCACAAACAGAAACCCGGCGGCAGCTGAAGGCAAACAGAGATTTCCAAGATGACAACAGGCTGCACACCTGGGAGAGGTGAAGCAGAAAAGCGTGGGCAAAGTATGGGGCAGAGCGTGCTGGGATGGGCCTGGGGCTGCACTCACCTCCTGGCATAGTCGTACAGCGCGCGCTTCCTCTCCTGCAGGGACAGGTGCCGTTCCACGGGGGACTTTGCAAACTGCTTTGTAGCTGGCTGGAACAGAAAGCACAAAAGTCAACTGGAAACAAAGCCAGGAAACCTCCTGATTGGCCCTGTAAGCACCCAGCATGCCGATTTAACCTCCAGTTTAAAACGCTCAGTTCCCCTGACGTGGCTGGCCCCAAACACAGGCATCACGCTCTGTCTGCGAGCCATCAGTGCAGGGGAGACATTATAACCCTCAAAGTACCTTGGAAGAAGGCAAAGCCACGGAGCCCTGGATGCCAGAAGCTGATGCAGCCCAGGAGGTAGATGGAGCAGGCAGGTCAGCACCAGCCTCACTTTCAGGGAAGAAGGGCACTCTCCCCTCCAGCAAGTTGGCAATAGTGGTATCCACACAGTTTGACTGGGCTGTAGGAACACAGGAGATGCGTTAAGAGAAGGAGCTGCCACAGCTAGGAAGCTCATTTTCTTTCTACTGTTGTGCTTCACAGTGCAACAAGGATGAGGGGCTTTTGCTTCCAGGTGTCACCATCACATGGCACAGAGGGTGATCCTGTGTCCCTGCTAATACTGGGTCTAAGCTTACCCAGGTCTGTCCTGATGACCTCCAGAGGCACGTGAGGCAGAACCTCCTTGACCTGCTGAGCCATCGTTGTGATCCGTGCATCCTCAGGAGCAAAGGATCCAATACCAGACAGGCTGGAAGGCATCCTGAGCCTGGCTGCCAGGGGCTGGCTTGAGGCTGCAGGAAAAGAAACGGGGTACAGGAGGGTGGCCTAAAGGCACACGGCCTTAACACGTTGCAGCAGCCCCATTTCTCATGTCCAAATGGGAACATTAAGGAATCAGGATCTCCTGCACACCACCACCATGTCTGTGCTGAGGAGTGGAGATCCTCTCCCTTCCAGCAAGCTACATCTGCAGCACAGAGCATGCAGGCACCCCTCGTCCCTAGGAGGATGTCTCACATCTTCTCCTCTTCTTCTACACATGAAAAACCAAGAGCAGACTGAAGTGTCCCCAAAGGCAGAGCCTAAGTTGCCGCTCCACACTCAGGATGCCTACCTGGGGCAAGGGGAAGATGGGATGAATGTCTCAGCCTCTTCATGTGCTCAGCTTTATCTGCTGCAGTGAGCTGTGTGGATACCACACCCAGCTCCATGGCCAAGAGCTGCAGAAACACAGAGAGGACGCACAGCACGCATGACCCAGGCATTCCCATCTTGCAGGGAACGCATCAGATGTACAGAGCCTGTTTGAAGCCACACTGAGGGGAAGAGGCCTGGGAGCTGATTTCTCCAAGGCCTCAGTGATGCCTTTCAGTGTTGCACGGAGCACACAAAGGACCAGGAGCGTGCAGTGTAAAACAGGCTGACACAGAGACCACATCTTTGGTACAGGACCTCCGAAGTACCCAGCAGTAATGGGAAGCCGGAGGAACAATCACTGTTTATTTGACTTGTGATATTATGAAAGGGGACTTTTTTAGCACATAGATTTGAGCTGGATGGGGAGAGCCTTGATAAGTGGCAGAGAGGATTGAAACGTCTGCGGCAAACAGGCCA